CTTATGAACCACTTATCATGAATTTTGCCACGCATATTCGTACGCAAGGCGTGATTTATGTCGGAAAGTCGTGCAACATGCACGTTTCGAGCGACATCAAACGGCCCCACACCGCAGGGCCGTGGCGGTGCGGTGTCGGGCCTTTTGGCCTTGTCGGGCGACATTTACCGTCCCCGGTGAAACACGAGCCTGCGGTCAATGTTTCGCAAACCGTAACACCGGGCCACAGTCGCCGTGGCGGTGGCCAATCTTGGCCAAACACCTCACTGGAGGTACTGGATGGGGCCGAAAACGTCCCACTGCGACACAGTTAACAATGGCCATGCCGTAAGGCGGCGCGCTGAGCGGCACAAAATTGAGGGAGAGCGAGTTACAAATGTGCTGAATGGTTTTATCTTTATCATTGGCGTGAACTGTCAGGTTACCACTCGATGGACGCCAACATTTAGATCTGTTGCATTACAACCAGTGCGTGGTGAATTAGAGACAGAACAGAGAGGTAGAGGTACCCAAAGACCAAAGACCGAAGTCGAACATCTGATGAAAGGGAGAGCTGTTGAGGTTAGGAGAAATTGATTGTTCAGAGGCTTTTATATGTAATACATAAGTATAAATTCCGTAACAAAGGGTGTTTAAATGTTTGTTACTTTTTGTCGTCATTTGTCATACAAGCTGTGTGTTCCTACCTAGTTGCACAGAAGGTGCTATGCGTTTCAACCATTTGTGAACGGTGAAATGTTGACTGTCTCCATACCAAGACTGTAATGTTTCTAACTTTTCCCATTCGATTTCGGTAACCCGCGCCCCACTGGGGTCTGTGTATAACACGCCCTACTGGGGGGGGGGGGCTATTCATAGCCCCCCCTCCTAACTCCGAAACTACTGGGCCGATCGTCAAAATTCAAACGACGTCTGATAGCCCCGGAAAAACTGTCGAGCGAAACCTAATTTTATTGACCTCGAGGTCACCGATGACGTCACAGGTCAGGTCAAAGTAAAAATTATTAGCACTTTGGCTTGTTCACATTTTGGGCTCTGGCCGCCGTCTTACAAGTCAGATCAGGCTCATTTTTGGTTTCCACACTCGTGAACAGATGCTCTAGATACCTTGAGGGTACCAAACTTGTACTTTGATTTTCAGGTCAGGGTCAGGTCATCACAGGTCACGAAAATATTATATCATGCGTCGGTCACGTGACACATGTTTTATGGTCCATTTAGGCCATAGATTTCGAATTTGATGTCGTCTGTGTCATTCGAGGTCATTTTGAGTCGAATTTAGCTTAGGTCAGGTCACTTTCAGGTAAAAAAAGGTCAAATTTTGAGGTTAAAAATTTTCAACAAAAAAGGTGTCTATTGGATGCAGTTTGAGCTCAGGAACACGATGGTGCCATTTATATTGGTGTACGATGTCAAATACGTACTGAAAAATTGATTTGAAAAATTAATAATTGTGAATTTTTTGCAATAATGCGTATAACTTGGCCATTTTTGAAGATATTTAGCTAAAACTTGCTAGAGTTAGTCATAATCATGCGTTCTGTCACATATATTCCGTTTTTTTCGAAAAGTCAAAAACTTTCTGAAAAAAATGTAAAAATATAAATTTTGAATATTATTATATAAGATTTTCGAAATTTTCAAAATTTTGAAAATCCGAGATAGCAGTTTGATAGCGCGGTCAATTCTGAGTCCTTTCATGCAAAGAAATTGGATCTAGCTTAAAAACTGAGCTCTTGGGAGCGATTGCCGTGGTTCAATGTTTTGCGTCGAAATCGGACGAACATGACGTCACTCTGACGTCATTTCCGGCCGACCTATGGTAGCTAAGAAGTTCAAATTTTGACACAAGGTGTCAAATTGATGCAGCCGAAGGTACTGAAAGTTTGGCGTCGATCCGTCAAGCGGTTTGGAAGTTATTGCAGAAAAACGGGAGGGGGGGCTATAAATAGCCCCCCCCCCCAGTGGGGCGCGGGGTAAGTTCCCGGCAAACAAGCCAGACATATCCCTGGGGAAGACTGCTTGAAAACTGGAGAGAATCGGCCGCGTAACAAGCCAGCAGACGAGGACGCCTGCTCCGCGAAATGCCTGCCATCACTAGGCTGACTCAAACTGAAAAAAAAACTAACAGGCCGAGCTCTTACTGTGCTAGACCAGTGCTCATATTCACTTTGTATCCAAAGCCAATATACCTACCGTGGAAGCCTCAACACAAACAGAGTTCATCGCGAATCTAAGTATGACTGACAGCTCACCCAATACGTCAGATAAACTAGTGGCAACAGACCCACCAGCAATAATTCCGGAGAGCCCACCAACCGCAGGGATCTCAGCGCAGCTCGGCCGCTCGTTTGGTTACGGAGCGAGCGAAGCGAGCGTAGTCTTTCCATAGATTAACGGAAATTTCTGAGTATGAGCGGCCGGCCGGCCGTGGTCACGCTTTTGCGAGGCTTATATCTCAGCAACCACTTGACCGATTTACACGCGGTAATTTTTGTAGGGTAGCTTCATTCCTTCTACCAAGTATTGGACTATTCCCGATGCATGTGGGTGACCCCTTATGCACGTGCCACGTGCAAAACGAAGAGGTGTCACTTTTGTAATTGTTGCAATATCTCGGTAACTACTTGGCCGATTGCGCTGAAAGTTGGCATGTAGGTAGGCACCCACTAGGCACTGCATATACATGTGCCAGAGTTGGGGTGCTGCTGCACGTGCGCACGTGCAGGGGTCGTTTCCAGATCTCGAGAACGGCTGGACCGATTGCGCTCAAATTTGGTACACGGTTAGGGACCGGTTAGTAGGGTGCCGTGCACAAGTCAGTTGGGACCCATTTTGCACGTGCGCACGTGCAGGGTGCCGCTTCCAGATCTCGAGAACGGCTGGGCCGATTGTGCCCAAATTTGGCACATCGCTAGAGACCAGTTAGTAGGGTGCCGTGCACAAGTCAGTTGGAGGTACCCCCTCGCAATTTCGCACGTGCAAGGCCCACCCTCTCGCTCGCTCCGTTAGTCGCCCCAAAAGGCGTTATACTGGTAATATAATTGTCTCATTCCCCAGAGTGCAGTATCCGTTTACCATCGCTGGCAGTCAGACGGTGCTGGGCGTACCAGTGTGTCCGTGATCAGGCATTTGGTCACATTACCACAGCTACGTCATTGCAGGACGCGGATACCCAAACGAATGTTCGTGGGTGGATACTGGATAATGGTATATCACGTGATAGGTTACGGTTTCGAAGGAGACGCAACAAGCACGGGGAAACAGTGTTCCGAAATCTCCGAGCATTCCAATATACTGTTCAAGTTGCAATGTTTATCAATATATATGAACCGAATGGTGACTGAATGAAAAGCTTTCCTAATTACGCTCCTCACCATACACAAGGTAGATTAACTTGAGCCGTTTGTACTCAATTCTGTGCTGCCTAGCGCATATTGGCACTCTCATATACTCAGACACAGCTCTAAACAAAAGTCTCATCACAGCCGAGGGCTGACGTCGGGTTCCACACCCCGACTGCTGCCGCGCCCCTGACCACAGCTCTCAGCTGCTTGACCCGTCATTTCGGTCAGACCGAAATTATGCCACGAAATGCTACGAATTCGTTTGCTAGCAGCATTCATCGAGTTATGTTAAAGAGTTATGCCTGAGGATGTTTACCCTCAGCACTCAGCAAGTCTCCGTACCCTTGCCCAGTTCGTCACGACATGGCCTAGCCAGCCATTGACGTGACTCGGCGAGGTCGAGAAGCGTGAACGGGTGTTTTTTGAACAATTAGCCCACCCAATTTGGATAATGTGTCGCGCCAGGCTGTCTCTGAACCCGACTGACAGCCGGTAGGTTTTGTGTGCTACCTGTCGCGCGCTTTATGGATGACAAAAGGCGCCGGCCCGCCGCTGGCTGGATCGTGTTTTTCTTGTCAGAAGTGGACTGAAGGCGCTTCGTGCTTTGCGTCTCGGCGAGCTCCTTTGTTAGGCGCATTGTGATATGTATTAGCCATTCCGTTTGTGCACCGGCAGTAAACACTTTGGTTATATGCTAAAATATGTTCGGCAGGCACAAAGCTTACAAGCCACATTTAGTAAGTCAGCGTATGTTTAAAGAACAATAAATATGTTACCTTTCGCATAATAAGCGTTCAATGATTCCTGATTATAATTCATATTTTTTCATCTTCTCAAGTTTGCTGCTATATTTCGTGGCGCTATGCCTTTTAGCGGGTATTTTTATGCCATTTCAGATTCGTTTGATGGTAGGACATGATGGCTGCCCGTCCCGTGGAACAGACACTTCACAATGTAATGGGCTGGGATCCCCACTAGCCACTACCCAGTATTCAGCCGCCCAAATGCGTCTGGTCTGATTATTGTTTCTTGAATGATTGAACTTTCCAATACGTGTCCAATCGTACGATTTCATTCACTTCGACGCATATCGTGAGAAGAGCCTCGAAACCCTTTTCCAGACCTGGGCGTCAGCTGTAGGCAAGCGCTCTAAACTCGAGCTTTATATTGTGTCCGGTAGGTAGCGCGGAAGTGGACTTCTGACCGAGTGGAGCCGCCCTCTTGGGCGCTGCTGACCTTCAGCGCTCGTTGCACTTGTTCTGTCATATTTTTCTTACCCGTAGTCATTGTTAACACTTCATCTGCTTTTTTTTCTATGGAACTTAATTTTATCGACCAGGCCGGGCCCGCAAAACACTAGGGTTACAATTTGATGTCCGGTTATCGTTGGACGAGCAAAGCAGGATGACCAGGATTTAAAGGATTCTGGGGCGCCTCCTTTCGATTTATTGTAAAATAGCATTCCAACTAATTTTGATAAATTATGTTGACTTATGATTCATTCCTCGACAACTTCATTTAAAATACATGCTTTGACATACAAAGTCCCTGACTCACCTTACATTTCCTCAGCGCGTACGGCGACATTCCCTGCCGGGCGTTCGGCGGCCCAGGTGTGTCGGGTGTATTCATCCGCGCCGGTGCGCAGGTGCCGGCCCAGGGTCGTCAGTCAGCTGGCGAGAGGGGTTCCGAGTGGAGGGCGGAGCGACTGCCGACGGGAGAACAACAGCCACAGTTTGAACTGCCAGGGCGCTGGATACCAGCTCGCAATGGGTGTGACACAGTGGGCTGTTTTCGTGGCTGCTCTGTCGTTAGGTGAGTGGATACGATGGGAACACAGAGGGATGGGTGCTCAGTTGGGCTGATGACGGTTGGGGTGGGGCGGGATGGTGTGGTTTGAATCAGAATTTGAATTGTACATATATGTTCCTTTGTAACTGCGCAATGGGTATCAGATAGTCGTCGGAGATGTTGCTGTAACATAGGTTTAAAAGATTCTTTTGCATTAAAATTAGACGTGAACATCAAAATCGCCCGAAGCTGGCTGGTACACTTCTCGAGCATTCTTGTTCCCGTTCATTACATTTTATATGCCTTCATTCGGCGCCCTGCGTGTCGTAAGCCCTGGCAATATTCCGGTAGTTTTTGACTGGATTGATTTCGTGAAATGATGCAATTGCTCACTCAAACTATGTCATCGATTCCGTAGCGCTTGTCAAATTTCCATGTTGGACAAATTTGCATCTCTTGCGTCGCATGGGTCAGTACCGTATGAGTCATGCCGATAGCATTCAGCTACGACGAACGTGAAACCGGTTACTCATATGGCACACAGGCGAGCACGAACCATAGGAGCTGTTTTGTTTGTCTGTTGTATCCGACTAGCGCTGAGGTCATGGAACTGCATTGCTATAGGACCTCAATCTTAAAAATGTATCCGTTCTTTACAAATAAATATGCCACGTAAATTCAGATAACTAATGCATCCACACTGTACGGCATAGGAGACATTTTCATCACTACAATAAACGACTCTCACAGTCTTACTTTCTCAGACTTACATTCACATGTTGTCATGTCAAAAATGAAACGATTGCAATGTTCCCTGACATCGGCGACTCGGTTTATTTTCAGCCTCCGGCCAGAGGAACCCGTCGATATCGTTCATCAGCAAGGAGACGGTGACAGACATCGGAGCAACGGCGCTACTGAAATGTTCAGTGCAGGTAAACTAACGAAATTGGACTGTAGATAAATGGTAAACAATCGATAGTCGTGTACACCTTCGTAACGTATGGATTTGCGTTCTGCAATTGATAATCATGACGTCAAAGAATATAACATCCAGCACATGACGTCAACTATAAAAAAATAACGCGATTGTGTGTGCGCGCAAATAAACTCACATGATCTCACGAAAACCACATCCACCAAGGGAGCTTCTGAGGGAATCTTCAGGGGATCCTCTGAAATGTTTTCATTGATGGTACTTTTGTAGCGCTGTCTAACCCGAAAACGCACTTCCTTTCTCAGTTCGCCAGCGAATCCCCGGTGATGTGGTTCAAACAGGCCAGCGGGCATAACGTCAACGACGTGCCCATATCGACCAACAACATCCTGATCGCGCAGGAGCCGCGCTTCTCCATCGACCGTGAGGGCGACACGGTCACACTGAAGGTCGGTCGGATGATAGTCGTGTACAAATCGTGTACAATTACAAATATTACGCGAAATGTCTCGGCTGGGGTTCAGTTTTGGAAATAGCGATGTGTGTAGAAGCGAAGTTTGACCTAAAATGTTAGATTTTTTGATGTATTATGCTAGCTCGACAATCTACTACTTTTTGCAAGCTCATAGCTGGGTAGCGTATGCTTTGTCACTGTTTCTGTCAAATTATTATTATAATATATCGAGTCGAGAATGATGAACACCACAATCGGAATCATATCTACCTACTATGAACGTCAAACCCCTTGAGGCCCCACTTTTTTGCGATAATTTTTAAATGCGTCAACTTTCGTTGACAATATTCTGGCAATGTATGTTTCAGAACCTGCCGAAACTTTTATTACTAAGGTATTTTGACGCCAAACGATTATGGAAGGTACTTCTCATTCACTCGTAATGCTAAGGTCAATTCAGGCCCGGGCAGAGGCTTGCGCTCGGCCACACTCGAGCCCCGCCACCAGCGCCATCTGCCCTAAATGCCATCTGCCAGCGCCCGCTACCGCTACCAACTACCGCCCACCATCAAGCCTGGATGGAGCGCGAGACGCGAGTGACCGGTCGCCGGGCAAGGAGCGCCAGAGGGGTAGGGCGGAGCTTAGCGCTGACGTCATTACGTGGCTCCGCCTCATGAGCGCGTAGCCTCTACCCAAACAGCAGATTCGTTCCGTGAAATTTAACATTACGAGTGAATGAGAAGTACCTTTCATAATCGTTTGGCGTCAAAATACCTTAGTAATAAAAGTTTCGGCAGGTTCTGAAACACACATTGCCAGAATATTGTCAACGAGAGTTGACGCATTTAAAAATTATCGCAAAAAAGTGGGGTCTCAAGGGGTTTGACGTCCATAGTAGTGTGCGGTGTGGTTTTGCCATCTGCTATTCATCTCAGCGAGCTCGGGCGGTTTCAGATCAGCGACATCCAGGAGTCTGACCAGGGCACGTACGAGTGTCGGGTACAGATCAGTGTCCGTGAGTCCATCAGTGGCACGGTGCTGCTAGCCGTCCGACTGAAGCCAGTCATCTCGGACAACTCGACAAGGTCAGAGAGCAGAGAACTGGTGGGAGGGGCGCGCAGTGCGGGAGAAAAATGTGCGTGGATGATCATCAGATAAGTGCGGATTTTTGGAAAAGACTCCGTTTAGGGCAGTGTTGTTTAGTTTCTTTGAACGAAAACGATTTCGTTTATGTACGTGCTTGCAATGTATTTTGTAGGGATATGCTCAAAGGCATGAATGTAAATATCGAAGTGCCAGTGTCTCCATTTCCCATGTAAATCGTGGCCTGAAATTGTAAGTTAACTCATGCATACTGTAGCAACGTGGTCGGGTTCTTGATTGGACTCCCTCTTCTCAATTTGTGTCCTACCCGAGCCTTCCGTGACTTGGCTCGTACATTTCCGTATTCATCTCGGTGTTCTGATCTGGGACGTCCTTATCTTACATATTCTGACCTGACCTGGCTCCGAGGCGCTCCCTGTGCCTTTTAGCGATAACCAGTCATATCTCACCCGACGTTAGCTCGGGCGGATCCTTGCTCATCCCTGCACTGACGCACCCTGACCTTTCACAGGTCTGTGATTGTCTCCGAGGGCGAGACGGCCGAGATTGCCTGTTACGCTACCGGATTCCCCACGCCGGAGATCACGTGGAGGCGGGACAACAACTTCCTGCTGCCGACCGGCAAGGCCATCCACCGGTCAGTAGCACACAGGAAGACTATTCAGTCCTGATTGGTCCCCGTAATGGTGTCATCTTTCGATAGTGTCAATTTGCAGCTGACTTGTGCCTTGTCATAATTGTTGCTTCCGCCGCTGTTGGCTTTGAAGTGTGTCTTCATTTGCGTATCGAGCTGTCAACCACAGACCAGTCAACCATCTTCGCTATCCTTTGGAATATAATATTCATCACCCGCAGCCGTCAGAGAGCAGCTTGGAAAAGTAACAAAGTAGCTAAATATGTTTCCCCTCCTCCAGTTCTAACGTTCTTTCCGATCGACAGTGGTAACGTTCTACGTATGGAGAACATTCAGAAGATTGCCCGAGGCACCTACTACTGCGTGGCCGACAACGGCGTGGGACGCGGCTCCAAGCGGAACGTGGCCGTGGAGGTGGAGTTCGCTCCCGTCATTACCGTGCCCAGACCGAAGGTCTACCAGGTAAGGATGGCGGTATCAGGACCCGGGGGCCATCGTTTGGGCATCACTGGCACGGCAGTCATGCCTTATTGAGATAGGCAGTGACACTAATGTGAAGCGGATAGAGGCCGTTTGGCGTAAATATTTTATAGCGCAAGGCTGCTAGGACTAGGGTGGCCGATAGTCTTCGTTTCACGAACAAAGCAAGTAGTTGCTGATTATTTGATATCAACGTTGTAAGTACTGCTTCAGTACCTACTTGTGCTGCATGGAGTGGAAGTGAATTGCCTCCTCTCGCCTCCAAACGAATATTATATAGAATATATTTAGTTACCTGTGCGTTAGCGATCTCCATTTACATGTTTCCGCTCTTTTTCTCCAGGCTATGCAATATAACATGGACCTGGAGTGCCTGGTGGAAGCCTATCCACCGCCAAGTATTACCTGGCTCAAGGACGGTATCGTCCTCAACAACAACCAGCATCAGATGTAAGCTCTTCTCCTCGCTTTATTTAGTTGTAATTACAGCAACGGGGACCGAAAAAAGTCAATCTTCATTTGTTTCATTACACTATGCAACAGTCATTTTGTTCCTGAGTAACGACCGATTTTTTTGGACTCATTGGGTCCCATTATAACCGAAATGGGCATTTGTTTTGATCTGAAAATGCTTTTCCGGTTTTCAGAGACGATTTTCGATTTTTGGCCCCGAAATTCGGTTTTTGGCCCACTGTGTCCGGTGTAATTGAGTAATCGACTCGCGGTAACTTTCATCGCCCTTCCTATGCCACAAGCTTTCGAATGATATCTGGTTTTGCATATTTGCGTGCAAAAATAACGTCATAAATCTATGTTAAAGTAAGAAAATGTTGAAATTTTGTAAAAATTTGACATTTTTTTCGATTTCATTTCAAAATAGAGAAAAAACTAAAGGCCCTATCCAAATTCTGAGCCCAGTTCCTTGAAGAGCATTCAATTTCCGTTCGGAAGGTACTATTTTAGTGCATTTTATCGGTTTACTGTGGCGTCCAGATTGAGTCACTTGAAAAACGGGCCCCCAACAGATCAAGATTCTGAGCGACAGGACTGCTCAAAAGTAAGTTCCTGCGTGTGACCCGAGGTCACAAGGGGTCAACAAAATGACCTCAGTTGACCCCTCGTTGATCCTATGGCGTTAACATACGTTATCAGGTTAATGCTATGTGATATGACTTAGGATATGTGTTTAGGTTAACTCCAATCTGGACGCCACAGGAATCCGATAAAATGCACTAAAAAGGTACCTTCCGAACGGAAATTGAATGCTCTTCAAGGAACTGGGCTCAGAATTTGGATGGGGCCTTTAGTATTTCCTCTATTTTGAAATGAAATCAAAAAAAAATGTCAAATTTTTACAAAATTTCAACATTTTCTTACTTTAACATAGATTTATGACGTTATTTTTGCACGCAAATATGCAAAACCAGATATCATTCGAAAGCTTGTGGCATAGGAAAGGCGATGAAAGTTACCGCGAGTCGATTACTCAATTACATCGGACACGGTGGGCCAAAAACCGAATTTCGGGGCCAAAAATCGAAAATCGTCTCTGAAAACCGGAAAAGCATTTTCAGATCAAAACTAATGCCCATTTCGGTTATAATAGGACCCAATGAATAAGAAAAATTCGGTCGCTTTCCAGGAACAGAAAATTTTTCATTTTTTGTTGCAGTTATCGAGATGTCACCGGGACAACAGAAAACGCAAAATGTAGTTCAAAGAATCAGTCATTATATCCCAAGTTCTCGAAATACAAGTCATCTCTAACTTTATCACGCTATTCTTGAATTCGCCTTTTATACACTCGATAAATAAATCAATGTTCATTCACGTTTCCACATTTCACAATTCCTATGTTCCATCAGCAATGTAAGAAGCTCTAGCGTCCCTAATCTCTCCAAACAACCACATCCATTATCTGACATTATTCTCTCATCTTAGGATGTCTATGTTCCCTATCACGGACCAGACAACTGACAGCAACCTGCGTACGCTGACAATCGAGAAGAAACAGTACGGCAACTACACCTGCCGCGCCGCCAACCGGCTCGGGACCACCGAGTCCGTCGTCGAACTCGTCGGTGAGTCACACTTTCTCGCCAGGTCAGGTCAGGTCAGCTTGTGGAGTCTGCACGGGAGAGCGGGATAGGTCAAGGCGGATCAGGCTGGGGTACTAAGATATGCTGATCGCTAATGCTTATACAAATCTATAAAGATAGCAAGTCATTTCAGGTCTTTTTTCGGGACTGGGAATTCGAGTCATTGGTGTTGCATGATGCATCGCTTTATCTATTTATGCCTTCATCGTTATATTATAACTGTATACAATTTACCTAATAGTTATATTTGAATGTCATTTGCCCGTTCATTTCCATTCCTGTAACGCCTGAATCCATACAACTATGACTAACCGTGACACCTTTCTGTCTTCAGAGGCCTTCATTCCGGTGTGCCCCCCGGCTTGTGACGTACCCGGGTACAGCACCAACAGCCGCGCACCGCCGCTGGTGCTGGCCAGCGCCGTGCTGGTCGCCGTGCTGGTCGGCGCTGTCACCGCCGCTGGCCTGAGGCACCACTGAGGCAGCGCTGAGGCAGAGCTTAGCCAACGCTGAGGAACTGTTGCCCGGTAAGTGACGCTGTCAAGGAGGCGGATTGATAAGTCGATAAACAAATTATGGTCGTGCTTTTTATTACCGTATTTTGTTTTCGTCTTTCATGATAAAAAAATGAGTTTACCTATAGGTATGTTGTCATTGCTTACCCTAAACCCAATAAGTCGATTTTTAGACCTGTGCGTAACCAGATTTAATCTATCATTTTGCGCTTATTTTTCCAGAGAGCTCAACAGACAGAATCTCGAAATGCGGGAAACATCGTGATCTTCCGTCCGTTATCGATGGCTGTTGGCAGTGGCCGAAAAGCTGTGGGCTGCAGCGCTGTAGCTGATTGACATCTCCGACCACACAACCACAAAGAGACGTCTGTCACAACACTGTCATTCTTCACAGTGTAATCCGAGACTTTCGTCAATGATCCGTCCAACAAGTGAACTTGCATTATGATAAATGGTTGGAGTTGGTGTTGACGTGTCTACTGAACTTCAGCAGATGGATATAAATAGGCCTATAATAGATTTGTGAGTTTGACGAATGGTGTGCTGCTTTCCCAGTGTCGTGTATAAGCTCACTGGTAAGCATTTAGAAAGTGATGATGCTGGTTTTGCTATACCGTAATGTACACGTGTGGACTCGCCTATATGTTATGTAGCATTGAAGTCGTGATGTTGCAGCTGAACACTGGCCCTTGTGAATCTTTGAGCTAGGATGTGTGTGCCAATGTATTGAGAACGATCTAAACGTTGTTTGTATAGAAATAACAGCTCATGATTTCTAGGTGTAGTTTTAAAGGACATCTACATATAACCTTATTTTTGAAAAGGCTGAATAGCATATCTTTTATTTTTGATTATAACGAATTGCAGATCTTCTATTCCTTAGGAACGAACAGTACTGCGTCACACAGCCAATGCAAACTGATGTCTCAAATACAAATGTTCTGTATGCCTAAACATAAAAGTGACGCCTATAGGTCCAGTGACGATAATCAGTACCTTCTTTTTGCAAGACCGTTTACTGCTGCTTGTGCTCACTTTTTGTTATTTCTTTCATGATTCCATCTTAATTTTGTCTTGTCTTGGATAACCTTGTAGGGCCGTACAAATAAAAAAAAATGCTGCAAAAATGGTTTATTTTATTCACTTATGTATTATGACGCTCATTATCAAACCGTATAAATATTGAAAACGAATGCGATGTTACGTGACCTTTTCTTGAAGCACAAACGCTCGCAGCACATTCGCGTAAGATAAATATCGATCGCAGCACTGCGCATTTTCAGTATAGAAGTCTAACATCTGACGCTGGTAGATCAACCCTCAGACAGTATTTGGATCGGTTGATTATGCCCATGGATTGTCTGATTCCGAAAATTTCAAACGACCACCAGTGTCGCTTTTAGTTGCTCGCTCTGTGAAACGGTTATAACCTATATCTACCAGAAAGATTGCCACCATGGGTATGTATATCGAAGGCAATCCTGCCTCATTTTCACAGCTCATTTATTTCGTAACTCTAAACTCATCATCTTGGACATTTTGTAAGTGGTTCGCCAGTTCCATCTAGCAGTTTCCTATAACAAATTGGTTTATTGATTTACAGCTAAGTAACGCATTCGACAGTGATGACTGCTCATCAAAACACGCTCTTGCAAACAAGCCAGAGTACTGAGTTATGATAGCAGCACATCAAACATTACAGACGCTTACAACCAACCTGGTACTGCCGTTTTAACAAGCTGCTGTCTTTTACTGAAAACAAGCTCGTTACGAGCGTGAAAACTACCGCAGAGTGGGCTAGTTTCCGGATTTCTCTGGAACATGTGTGTTTCTTTCGTCGTTTTTCTGTTCTACCTATCGATATTGCGGTTTGAGTTAATGGTCTTCCGAAAGCCGAAACGTTTCACTTTTACAATAACGCAGCATGAAGTACCAGTAGGACACGATTTGAATAACCTATAAGATATGCTGAGCAATCAATTTCAAAATGAGGAAAGAATAATCGAGGCACTTTCGGTATTTTTGGATCAGAGATAGGAGGACATCGGGCTGAGACGGTTACCTTTTCGCACGACTGTCGCGGTTCAGTGCGTTCCGAGGGACGGTTAACCGAGTTCGCCGAGAGCGAAGGTCTTCAACGCTTATACACTTCAATCCCGGTCGGTTTTGAAAGGTCAGCCTGAGCCAGAAGTAGAATTTGATTTAAATAGGGCTATCCCGCTAATTAAAAAAAAAAATGGAATGTACAAAGACGCTTTGTCTATAAGCAAAAAAGAGATCCTCCATGACCACTGTGAGGCGGGCATGCTGCATCTTGTTACGGACACCTATCCTATATGCGATATGCATTTCAATCGGATTTGAATAAATGAACAAAACACATTAAATAGATGTTCAACACAATCTCATATTTTGCGCAAACTTGCACCCTCTCCCCCCTTCTCCATTCACCTCACCACCTCTAGGCAGATCAACTGCTGTTCCCCGTGACCAGTCTCGGTGCAACTGCCCTCATCACCCCCCCCCCCCCCCCTCCCCCCCCAGTCCAGGCGGGCTCGTCCGGTCCGCCGGCCCGGCGCGATGGCCGCTAGCAGGGGTCGTCCGCGCCGCGGCGCCGCGCCTATAGTTATGACGGTCGCCGCCGCGGCGCTGGCGCTGCGCGCAGTAGTCCGCCAGAGCCCGAGCGGGAGTGCACGCGGAGCCACCGCTGCCAGTCGCCCTCCAGACACCAGCACTGTGTGACTGAGTGCAGTTCAGGGTTTTCAAGATGAGGTCCTTCTGTCTACTGCTCGGCGTCGCCATCATTCAAGGTGAGTTTTGGAATGAGCTGGTGGCTGAAAGGGAGGTTCTGGAAGGTTGCTGTGAGCGCCGGTTTTGAATTTAATGTTGGCGCCGATAGCTCTGTGTATGATTGGGGAATGGAAGTCTTCTATCCATCTATGGCATTTGGAATTTTGTTTTTAGTAGGATTTGTCAAACCTCGTGACATTTCGCGAATGTGCGCTAACCTTCAATCGATCATTTTTCAACTCGGCACCGGACCGGACCTCGCCACTCTTTGTGAGGTGCCACCGCCACAGCGGCGATCGATATAAGGTGTGGTCACGTCGGACGAGGCGGCTTGGGGCGCCGGCGCCGCCTGACCCGTGACCTGTGACCTTTGCCCTCCATTTGAGCCGGCCGGCCACCGCACCCGACGTCTACATCACAGCCCGGCGGGAGTCTGCCCCGGGGCGGTGGCCGCGCCGGCTGGCGGTCCTCTGTGCGGACAGCCGAGCGCCCCTCGGTACCGGTGTTTGCCGGTGCGCGCCTCCTCTCCCGCGCGGTCGTCGGGGTCTGTTTGTCGCTCAAAAACCGCCGCCGGCGCTGGCCACCGGCCGGCGCTGGGCGCTGGTTTTGTTGGCGCTGGCGGGCGGTTGGGACGGGTCGCCAGCCGGCGGGAGTCCCTCCACAGATCAATAATCTCACCCCTTTCAATTGGAAACCGGCGCGCGGCCCGCAGCGCACTGGGACGATTGGCTCACTCCGGGCTGACGGTTGTTCTCGCTGGTCTTTGTTCGGTGGACGGTCGCGCTGCGCTGGCGGGGGTCACTGGAACATCGATCCTGGGCTCAGCTCCCTGACGGCACCGCGCCGCGCAGCGAGCGTATTTTTCGGCGGAACCGGCGCCCGACGGCGATGCCGGCTCTCTGGCGATATTACTGGACCGTGACCTAGCGGAGGGGTTGTAAAGTTGTGCCGGAGAGTGGAGGCGATGGTCCAATTCGCAGGGCAGTTTACGACAGACGAGTAGACTCTGGTTCGGGGGCACATAAGCAATTCATACAGGGCTGTAAAAAGACTCGTGAAATTTTTTTGCTAGTTGTTAACATTTTTACAATAAAATTGATGTCATCAGCGCACAACTTTTTAGTGTAAAGCTTGATCTTGTTTAGCAGACAAGCTTGACGTTCCTAACTTGCTTAGGACTTGGGTCAAGGACTATGTTATGAATAACACATTCCTGCAGTGCATCATTTTATCGCTGGAAGCAGGAAGAATGGATTAAATGCGCAATCTTGATGGCTGAATCCGGAAAAGTTGCGAGTAACTTCACTGCCTTACAGAGGTCCAACATTCCTGTTTTGATAATCCTATCCTGTTTTCACGAACAACCACTGACCGCCTGACATCGTTGCGTGCGTTGCGTGTTATATGATTGGATGAACTCTGGGCAATTGTCTTGCACAACAGAGGCAACTGGAACCTGAGTGATTATCGGTTCTGAACTAAAGTCTAGTTTCACTTCTTAGTCACTTGTTCTCTTCCTCTCATTTGAACTATAGTTTGAAGTTTGAACATGCTTCATATCCAATGAAGTATCATTCTCAGCCGATGAAACTAATAGATTTATGTTTTATTAATTAGTTACGTCTGATTATTGCTTGACCGATAATCGAATACGCTAACGGACATACAACTGAAGGTCCATGGCTTATCTCCGTGGTGCTACTGCGTCACAGGCGTAGCAGTCTCCGGCCGGGCCGTGGAGACTGCGTGAACGCATAGGAAGCTAACGACACGGTGTTGACAGGCGCAGTATCTCCTCACTCCTCAGGTGGCCGAGACTGATAGATAGGGGTTGAATCCTAGCCACCGGGGATCCGGTATCTGATAGGGGAGTTTACGAGGAATAAACAATCAAATATGAAAAACTAACACTTTGTATGTTCGAAGTTCATATTGACTATTCAGCCATATCTTACTGAGCCGGAGCGTTAACTATGAGCGTGTTGACAAATCTGCGCGGAAACAATATGACGCCTCGTGTGTCTGATGACGGTCCGTCAACGGACCCAACACACGGCATGGCGCTGGACTGGCGCCCGGTGTCACACCGCCCGGTCGGCTCGTTCCCGTACCGTTATTTGGTTACTCTATGGACCGCCGCGCCGCAGCGGTACGGACCGGTCGGACGGGCAGACGGTCGGACTGAGGGCTGCAGTCGCCGAGTGCCGCCTGCTGTCCCCAACCGTCCCCGGTAGACGGAAAACCATTAGCAGCAACAGTGCTTACTTGTGGATGCGTTCCGGAATGAATTCATAACGGCGGCCGGCGTCATGAATTATGCATCCGGTAAACCGTCAGCGAAAGTCATCCACGTGCGACTAATTCATTCGCACTTTCGCGCTGACGAGTTCGATCCCTGACCTTTTTCTGTCGGCGTTCTGCAATCGTACAGCAACGGATGCCGACCTCCGCTGAAGCCGGAAATCCTCCTTTAGCGTGACAGGGGGTCTAACTGACTGCGAGGCACCACGCGGGTTCGGACCGGCCCGGCCGCCGGGCGGCGTGCTCTTTGTCTAAGTTGGCGCGCAGCTGAGGGGTTCTGAGTCGATAGTCTATTGGTCACGCACACAGGATGTTGCCGTGATTGTTATCTTGCGACTCGGACCGGTGCAGGCGAGGTGACTATCACCCGCTGTGGAAGTAAGCTCCTGCAGAGGACGCGCGCTTTATCATACCACGTGGCTACCTGAGGCACCGCTGCCGGCGCGGCGGGGGTAGGGAGTGGGACTGGGGAGGAGGGGAGGGGAAGGGAAGGTGGTCAGCGCGGCACGACACAGCGGCCGGACACCAGGTGGTTAATGAGGCTCCCCCTCCCGAGGGACCCTTGCGGCGGCGCCGGGACAGGTAACCGGTAATAGTCCTCACTCCCCTCGTGCTGTGAACCCTCCCGGGCGACTCCGTCCCCTCATTGCGACCCTCTGGACATTCCCCACACAGTCACGCGATTACATTTGTGCGTGCTCGGACTCGTCGATATGCCAGCTTAGCACTGGTCAGAAGACAGAGCTGTGACAGCTGACTAAGGAGAATATCCTTACCGAGAGCTACCCCACGTTGGCGCCACTCTGGTACTTTTACGACCTGTCTGATCACGATTAATGAACACCCTGCCCTGCACCGTTACACCGCGAGACATTAACGCCTTCCCCTCGGACATTAACCAGCGTTCCTTCCTGTCGCATGCCACGACACTGGTACTTTGTCACCTCCAACCCCATCATGACCACCGACGCCCTCGTCACCTGCCTCTCGTTCTGGCTTGGTGAGCCATCACCTGCAACCACCAGTGTCCTGTTGTCTGTTGACCTCTCTACGTGACCTCTGTCATGACCCCTGGTCGTGAGTCTGTGCTACTCAGTGCCGTGACCTGTCGACGTGACCAGGAGGCTCGGCCGTTTTTGGCAGCGCGCTGTCACCCGACTGCGCACGCCTCCGCCCAACCGTTCTGTGCTGCGCGGGCACTAATAACGCCGTCATGCGGTCTGATTTTTGTCCCAATTATCTGCTCACGACGATGGTCTTGTTTCACTGGTTTCGGGTATTTGATTTTAAGTTCGTGTGCTGGCTGCAGCCTTATCGCGCTTTTGAGATGACAAGGAGAAAATCACTTTCCTATATGGATTTGATTGATCTCGTGTCACGCTTTTCATTGAGCTCGATTATCGAGCAAATGAATGCTGGCAAAGGTCGATATGTAACGAATATCGATATTAATCTTGCTCACCCTTAGCCTTTGGATTTGAGCTTAGTTTTTTCTCACCTGCTGAAAGTTTTTTCCTGCCAAGAGTAATAGCTATCACGGCAATCACCTTACACACTACACAATCCCTTACCCCGGCCTAAGCGACAGCAGCGGCTTTTGGGCACCCCTGCCGCCGGAACAGCGGTGCTAATCGCATCAGGGCACGCGCCGTCCGCGCGGGCGTCGGCTGCCCTGTCGGCGCCCGCTGCCCCGGGGGCAATCTGCGGGGGACGGCGGCGACTAATGACACACCGGTCGCCGGCGTCGGCGTCGCCGCCAATGGCGTGTTAATTCACCATTGTCGCCATGCCAGTGACGCGCGCCCTGGGGAAGAGCACAATGTCCGGGCGCCGGCGCCCCTGCCGCCGCGCGCACTGACGCGCGCTATTGGGGCTCCCGTGAAAAGAGGCTTTGCGCCCTATGTTTTCGCAGGGGGAAGGAATGGTTTTGTAAAGCTGTGTGAGCGGGTGCGTTTGGTTGGTTGGTGATTGGTTATGTGTTGAAGGGTCATATTGGTGGTGGGATCTCGAGGCGTGGGTTTGATAAGTGCAGCTGCAGAACGTCAGGAATGCTTCAGTATTGACAGGGTCTGGATATGCTTTATCGTTGTTCCTAGCTAACTTCATAATCCCCTCTTTGTTTGGGCATTATAACCTCAGCGCTGTCACCATTATTTAAGACAAGATCTCGACACGATATCTGCGCGGTACACACGAGCTGACTCGTGTCCAAAAGAATGTCGTTAATGCAAACTGTCGACGCCAGTATCGGCAATCCCCTCCGCAGTGGCTCGCCCGGCGCCAGTCCACTCAGCTGCAGTATTCGCCTGAGCGCCAGTTCGCGGAGCCGCTTTAGAACCATGAGTCACCCTACTGCCGTCCCATAGCCGCATAGCCTCGCCTCAGTCGATTTTCGGACCGTCGCAAAAACTCCCCGCGACAGAATGGTGCGCCGTTTCGGAGTGATTTATTGTGGCGCTCGATGGCGTCTAATCTGCCCCGTCTCCGTCGCTCGGGATAACAGGCCGCACAAAAGGCACCATTCGCCACTGACGCTCTCCGTAGCAAAGTCGAGAAGCTGTGAGGCGAGGGAGTTTTGTCAAGCTTTAGAGGCGAGACGGTGACGGCGCCCAAACCGATCCGGGAATACGTTTAAATTTCCTCCGAATTTAAACTATCGTATCCGCCGTGTCCATGGCGTGTTCGGCGGGGTGTGGCCGCAGCGGAGAACGCCCGCTCC